ACCACACTTTGTCTGGGTACTCTTATCTCCTGCCAAGATACCACTCCAAATCATACAGGACCTTTCCAAAGACAGACACATGGTATCATGTCAAGTGAGTAACAGTGTGAGGAAAAATTAAATGAGATGTCATGCTATGTGTGATTTGTCAAATTTTAAACCAACACTATTTTGTCTTTTACATTTTTTTAACTCAACATATTTATCAAATGTTATCTTTACATTATAAATTTAAAGAAGTTTTCCATTTGAAAAAAGAAAATTTAAAATCAGCTATGAACATACTTAGTCATCAGAACTGAGCAACTCTCTGTCCAAATTCCCTTTGCCTAGGATAGCCACATACTCATAGGCACTTATGCCTGCAACATGAATGACCGGATGCTTACCAGGAATGCCTCCCCCATCTGATCTTCATACTCCATCTCCCAGGTACCACTGCCTACCACACTCTACAAGAGGAGTCAAGCCCTCAGTTCTGAATAAAGTAGAAAACTGCATATACAAGATTTAAAATTTTAAGGGTAGATTTCAATTATTTTAATCTTTTGAATCACCTATAGATTTGAAAACAGCATAATGCTTTGAATGTTCTTATTTACCATTTACATAATAAAAATATAAACTACATTTTCAAATAATTTTTTAGAGGAAGAAATTTCCTAACAAGCTCAAAATTCATAAAACTCCTTTTCACTTTGACATACAAAAGAAAAATTTTCTTGGTTCTTAATATTTTCTTCTTAATCTGAGTAACTATACAGATAAATAATTAATGGGAAACACAATACTGTAAAAATATACAGACTTAGATCAAAATAAGGCAAGTCAAAACAAAAGCTAAGCCCTGAATCAAACATAAGCAACTCACAAGACTTCAGAAGTCACAAAATGTGGACTTGAAAAAGTCATCAACATCAAATTCTCAGAGATAGCTCTGAGTGTTTCATGAGTAAAACCCAAAATGCTAAAGAAACAACAAAGGGAAGAAGCTAAATTGAGTCTTTTGAGAGGACAAAACATACAGAGTTGAAAAACACTTCTCATGATAGATAGCCATAGATTTATTTTCTTGACATTGTAAACACACTGCTTTCATTTCTTTTTAATTAAGGAAGTCTTTTAAATATTCCTGAAATTAAAGAGGGATAACTGTAACATGCATAGCAATAGCATTCTAAAAGCACTCTTTAATTTAAAGTATGTGCCTCTCGTCAAGATGTCTCATGTTTCAAGACAATATAGTTGAATGAAAAATGTACCTGGCAGAACACAGGAACACTGTGTAAAACACTGCTAGCCAACACTACCAGTAACTGCTCATGAGCCCTCAGCTAAGAATGATACTGAGAGCCAGGCATGGTGGTGCATGCCTGTAATCCCAGCACTTGGGAAGCTGAGGCAAGAGGATGGTTGCAAGTTCAAAGTCAGCCTGGTCTACAAAATGAGTTCAAGGCCAGCCCGAAGTGCATAGTGAGATCCTATCTGAAAAAGACCAAACATAAATAAATAAATAAAAGAATTATATTGATATCTCGAAGCCTCTCTTTCCTCACTTATGTTACATGAACTCAAATATCTTCATTTCTATTTTTAAAATTCTATGAGTACACAGGAAACTCATGCATAGAATTAATGCACAAACATTAAGGCCCTCCTATTCACAGCAAATGGTTTTTGCTTTTCACAATAAATTCCAGAGCACTCCAACACAGAAGAGTTTCTTCAAGGTTCTCACACGACCTCATGTGCAGCTGAGCTGGGAGCAGCGGACCCCAGCAGCCATTCTGAAGTATCGTCCCTGCTGGAGCAGCAGCATCAGTCCAGACCTGGAGCAATGTTGTTCAAAGCACTGTCTCATTTTCTGAGGATCTTGAAATGTCATTTATCCTGAAACAAATTCTCCCACAAGCTAAAACATAAAAACCCATGAAATGAACATGGGTTCGTATACATATGGCCTTAATTACTACTTGCACTTAGGATTCCAGTTTCAAAGGTAAGGACACAAGGGAGAGCATCAGTCTAAATCGCTCACTAATGTCCAGGGTGAAAGAACAGCAGATTCGGATTAAACACTCACTACGAGCGAGCCAGCAAAGAACACTACGTATGTGAGCTCATGTACACAATGACCCGCGGAGGCAGGCCCTGTGTCCACATTCGGGAACTCATCCAAGTACATACAGCTGGTGAGGACACGGTCGACGCATAGTGTGACTTTAACCAGGGGTGTCCGCAGAAAACTGGGGGACTCAGCCTCCATGGTTAATTTTCCTCATGTGAGACTGAATCATATGCCAGAAATAAACATTTCAACAGTTGTTTCTCATAAGAATGATAATGAATCAAGTTAAAGAGTTACTATTGCATGCTGAAAAATACTGTATATCCAAAGATAACAAATACAAAATGAAAATATGTATCCATTTCCTGTGATTTCTGCACAAGAGTTTGAAGATTGGCCTCAACAGTGAAACTATCCACGTTGAAACAAGAGGGGAAGAAAACGAATGTAAATGAATGCCAGGTAATGCTCATCAAAGCGTTCCCCCCTGAGCCAGATGTGGGCACCAAATGCAGTTAAGCTGACTTCCTGCTTTCTGCTCTGGGCCTTGCTCCTAACGCGGAGACTCAGAAGGCTGCCAAGAGGCCTGGCAACACTGATTTGTCACTGGACACCCAGTGCAAGCAGCGCTACCACGTCTGTCACCCGAATTGGGAAACAAGACTCTTCTCTCTTCGGTTAAATTATCCAGAACACATAATTTCATTATGGAGAGTTTTGATTTTGCTTCCACATGTCTTCATTTTTCCATCGAGATGGGCCTCTCATCTTCCTATTTTTAAATCATTTCATAGCAAGCCAAAGAGAATATCCTACTTAGAATGAGTTGTAATTACACTTAAATTAATAACATTCCATTCTAATTCCACCCAATTCCATTTGACATATTTTCAATTTAATGTTGAGCGTTAGGTTCTGATTTTGGTTTTTGGTTTTGTGTATGAGTGGACATGTTTATGACATTAAGTTGTAACTTTCAAAGTATCCTAATGAAGACTAGATTTCCTGAATGGAAGTTATTAAGATGCTTAGATGGTGGAACTTGCCTCACATCTAGTGTTCAAGAAATCACTGAAGTCTGGAAGTAAGCAAGTTATTCCCCCTTGTCTTTACAGATGCAAAATAAGTCATAAAAGTCACTCTCAGAAATCTAATATCAATGTACCATTAAAATTAAAGAGAATTGAGATTAATTCAAGATAAATATTTTTCACTACAACTATTTGTTCCTAAGAGAATCATAAGCTCTATTCAAATAATGTAAAAAGAATTTATTTTCTGTGTATGTAGTGAGAAGTATTTTGAAATTTTTGTGTTAAAGTTAAAAAAGAACTCTTCAATTACCTCACCTACCCATTTTGCCAGTTCAGACTTGTTCTCCTTCTATGTTCTCATATGGCTTTGTTGAACCAACTTTAATGTAAATGGTAAGTTTTCATCTGTTCTCTGTCAAGAGCCTAAACGACATCATTCTAAACTGGTTCTTTTGGAGATGAGTGCCACTTTAAGACGCTCTGATCACTTTTCTTTCAGAATCAATGATACTCTGAATGGTAAGGCTACTAAATGGTGGATGTTGGTAGGTTATAAATCCACCAGAAGGTGAAATCCTCCACCACACACAGTGAGTAGAAAAAGACTAGGCTAATCTACTAAATGTTTGTTCTAGGAAGCTTTATAAAAAGCATTCCATGGGGCTGGGGATTTAGCTCAGCAGCACAGCACCTGCCTGGCAAGCGTGAGGTTGTGAGTTCGATTCCCTGTACCGGAAAATAAATTAATTAATTAATTTAATTAAATTAAATAAATAGCATTCCATGAAAGTATGAAGATAATCTGAGGGTACTTATGTAATCACATTCTGGCACAAAGGAAAAACTTTAAAGCATACAAATGCAGTTAGCAGACAAATACAAAATCTGATCATGTATTGACTTTTTTTATTATTTGGACGTTAGGTTTTCGCTTTTGGTTTTTGGTTTTGTGTGCATACATATTTTGCGTATTTTAACTAATAAACACTTGACTTATTATGCTAGACACTTGAGAAGCATTATTTCACGACGTTGTGACAACAACGTAAGAACTATGAGATAAGCATTACTCTTCATAGTGCCCAGTTGAAGGACACAAAAGAGGTTAAGAAACTGTCCGGGAGCCCAGAGAAGCCGAGCAGGAGGTCTTGAAGCTGAGTCTGCAGCAAAACGAGGCCCCCAACATGCCTGCATCTGCCGTATTCCTCAGCGCAAGCTTTGCGCATGTCCTGGAAGTCTGCACACCTCAGTCACAAACGGGCAAAGGAAACAGTAGCGCGGGCGTAATCCTCCTCTGTCCAGAAAGCCCCGGCACAAGCAGCGCTGTGTGTGGTGCAGCACACGTGTGCTGTGCCTAGCCTGCATTTTCTTACTGTACGTCAGGTTTTCTAATCTATTTAAACCCACTTGCAAAGTCATTTTATTTTGCTACTAGTAAGTTGGAAATAGCTGGAAAGTTTTTAGGTGAAAACTTTGAAATCATAATCTCTATTAAGAAGGAAGGAGAAAAAAAAGAAAAAAATCCACTTCAATAATCCACAGACCTGCACAGCAGAATTTTCTTTCATTTGGGGGGCCTGGCACGAATCCCCTAAACAAGCAACTGCTTTAGGGCAAAGTCCTATGTATGCATCCTATAATCTGTACAGATGACAGTGATCATGCAGGATTATGTCATCAAGGGCCAAAAATCCACATTATTACAGAAGATTCATGTGTATTTCTTGCTTGGTTTTATTTCAAGTTTCAGAAAAGGAAAAATTCCTATTCTCTCCTACAGAAAGAAGGCAAATTCTGTGTAAAAACTGCTATATGATAGTTAAGTCTCTACCCTTTTCTCCCCAAAATCCACGATGGTTTATTATTATTGCTACTGGCAAAACCCTGTTGATCAATACCTCAGACTCTCCGGAAGACGGTCCGTCCTTTCCGGGGGGCAGGGGAACCCACAGGTGCCTGCCCTTCCCGGGCTGAGATCCAGCCCCGCTCTTCTCAACCGGGGTGCGCGCTGGCGTCACCGGGGTATGCGGCCCAACCTCAGGCGCTCTGTCCAGTCGTCCGGGGCGACCCCGAGCCCTCCGCTCTCCCGTCCTGCCCGCAGCCCACAGCCCGGTTAGGGGAGCCGGCCGGGTCCGCTCCGCAGAGAGCCGTTCGGAGCTGCGGGGTCCACTCGCCCCGCGGCCGCTCTCCCAGGGCCCCAAGGGCTCCGCGCCCTCAGCGCGGGGACGCACGAGCTCCAGCGCGGGAGCCGCGGTGCCCTGCGCACG